AACTGGACTTTAAGCAGTGACTGCAATGAGAAAAACATTCTAATACCTCAGAAATATTGAGCCACGATTTGCGTTTCAATGCTTTGACCTTGAAATCGGCCAGCTTGCAATGAAAGTTATTTATTTTGTTAATAACTAGACGCACAGGAAAAATTTGCCTATTCATTTGTTTTTGTGCCATTGTTATGGCAACAGCAGATGGTGTTAGAAATCCAGGCCCTGTTAGAGAATTAGAATCCACGTATCTATTCCCCCACTTTAAATATTTCCTAGTGTGTCTGCAGCCTCTGCATTTTTTTTTAACACTGTTAAATTTCTGACATTCCCTGGAGTTCCCTGTGAGGACACCTTTTACCCTTCCAGCCCTGCACATGTAAACAAGAAAGATTACAAGGAGCTTGTCTGGGTTAGGAAAATGGAGATAAACAGTAGCAGGCCCAGAGAAATGGGCCTCAGGAAAATGAGGTGACACTTGCTAGAGCAGAGGTAGAAACTTGGCACAGAAGGAGAAATGAAACAGAAATAGTGACGGTGAACCGGGAGACAGACGTTCCAAGGTTACCTGTCACACTAATGAAGTTACTGAGGTTTACTCTCCACAGACTCGGATGCCCCACTCCTGGGATGCAAGGGTTTTCACAGTCAGCTAGGACCCTTTCCAAATAAGCTAGCTACAGGAGTAAGAGGACCTCTCACCAGGGAGGCCTGCCTATCTTTGCTGAGCCATAAATCACAAACAAAAATAGTATCTGGGGAAAGACGTTTGGTTTCTTATGCACATTTCTAAAAGTTAAATACTAGCTAGTTGCTCATCTCTTTCATTTTATTACGTTGTCTATAAGTAAACTTTTCAAGTAGAAAGAGAGCAAAATAAAGAAGAGAGCAGCAACCATAAATAGCATTTATTTGCATCTCTGCAAAGACATACAGAACTCCTCTCTACTTACCACAACTTGCCTCTGTATTTTGGTGCAGTAACTTAAATGTGGCAAACCATGTCTCTGATTTTTAGCAACTAAAACCTACAACAATCCCTCCCTGTGAAGTATGAAAGGGCACATTTGCAATTCAGCGCATTCCTCAGCAGATCAGACTCCTTGCAGACAGCACTCAGCCCCATTTTCGGGGATCAGAGTGCAGAAGTGCATCACAAGGAGCTAAGGATCGACAGTAACCATTCTCTGCATGTGTGAGGACTCAGTAAACTGCACTCCCTGCATGTGTGAGGACTCAAGCAAACTGCACTCCCTGCATGTGTGAGGACTCAAGCAAACTGCACTCCCTGCATGTGTGAGGACTCAAGTCAACCATCCTCCAAGGCCAGCCAGCTAGAGCCCAGATTAGTCACACATCATGGGGCATTATTAGAAGTCCAGCAGAGAAATGTTGTCTCCAAATTATTAATGTTTAAGGCAACCTATTCCTATTCTGAGCCTGCTCTCAGTCCTGTCTACACCACCACACTTTTGTCTCTGAGTTTGTAAGGTTCTGCTTAGCAGATCTGCTATCTGCTGAGCTGACAGCCCCTCCACACAGTGCCAGTGCATCACGGAAGAGCTTTCTGTGGGGGACAACCCGCGAGACACTCCTCTAGGAGATATCACTCACACAGTACCGGAATCTCCCTTCTCTTCAGTTCCAGCTACCCATAGTCCACCATGGCCTGAAAATATTAAAGAAGTAACTCCAGAAATAAGCAATTGATAAACTTTAACTGCTAAAGTGACAGTCACTGTGCTTAATAAGTATGTAGTTAAGATAGAGAGCATTAATTACAGGGCTTGGAACTATCTTCCCTTTTGGGAATCCATGGGAATCTCAAGATGAATCTTCACAGATAGGGGTGACTACTGCCCAAAATGTGAGCATACCCCAGGAATTGTACAGGACTCGAGAATCCTAAAGCTAAGACTACTTTTTTTTTTTTTTTGCTTCACCCATCAGTATTCTTTCAGTAGTTATTAGTTACCTGGAAATTAACATATTTATCTTTGACACCTTCCATTTCCTTTATGACTGTGGGGTTGTCCCTTTTAAAATTCCATTAACTTCCTTTTAATAGAGTCACAGGAGCAAGAAGAGAGGAAAGTGTGGGCAGTATCTGTCAGATTGACTGCAAAGCACAGAAGCTCTCTTAAGGGGATCTCATTCTGCTGTCATTTCAGATGATTCAGATTCAATCTCAGGGCAGCAGCGACTCTGAGGGAGAGGGCTCAGTTAAGTAGTTTTGTTATCTCCATGGGTCCAATTAATTGGAAATTGGCAATATCTCCATCTACTCTGCGTCAGGTAAATAGAAACTTAGCTGAAAGTTGTGTCAATACCTGGCCTTTTAAACTACATTCATTGTTATAAAAATCCTAGGTAGTTGATTAGCGTAAAAGAAAAAAGGTTGAAGAGTTTTGAAAGAATAGAATTTTCATTCTGAACTCATTGCCCACAGTAAACAGCTTAACACCTCAATGAGAAAGCTGATAAGGACTCACTAGTCTTTGTCAAATAAACAATAATTTTCCAACTATGTGTTCAGTGACAATAATTATGTGCGATATTATGTTTCTACTGGTCGGCTGGGCCTACAGAACTGTAATGCCATGGCCTATGTAGACAATTATTGAGAATTTTTTTCTCCTAAATACTTCATCAATGAGACATTACTTTAATTTCAAATATTTTATTTTTAGAAGTGTTTTGCATAAACATATCTAAATCTAAATCTGGTTTCACTCTAGAACACTTGGAGTAAGTGCATACTCCACTAGTATTCATTAAAAATTTAGTATGCATCTGTTGCTACTACAAAGGTTGTTTAGTTCTATATTATTTTGTCTTTTAGTGACTTCATTTTATCAGAGAATTAGAATTTGGGTTATGTCTATGAAATAATGCAGTTAATTCAAGTGGAATACATACACACAAAAAAATCTAATCAGCTAATTGTTAATAAAAATTTGCTAATAGGAAGAAAAGGTTTGGAAGTAGCTTTAGAAAGTGTAGGGGATGGGTCAGGAAGGCAGGAAGAGAGTAAGGACCCTACTAGCTTCCCAGCCACCAGTAAAGCTTTACTGTGGAAATTCCCTGGGAAGTCGCACAAGAACAGGAGCGGAGGAAGAGGAGAACCGGATATGGAGAAGCACCAAGATAGCACAGCTGGCCTTGGGGCACAGTGAGAGGAAGAGCTGGCAGAGCACAAGGAAGTGGAGCATACAAAGGCCCCACCTGCAACCCAGTGCAGGGGAGCAGAGATGCGAGGGCGCAGCCTGAGTGTGGGGAAAGCTCTTATCTCGTGTGTGCTCACACCTATGCCCTGATGCACACGCACATATCCATATCTACGTATTCACCACAGGGCCACTACGTTATCCGCTGCAGAGTCCCTAGAGTGCTGCAGTGACACCCATACACGTCCTTACTAACTCTAAGTGAACCATGGGTAAGGCTCCCCTTGCCAGTCAGCTGCCCTCCACAAAGGGAAGGCCCAGCCGAGGATGAGTAAACAGGCAGAAGGAAGCTGCACATAGACCACCAGAAGACATGAGGCAGCTGGGGGTGCCTGGAAGCCACTCAAGTTAGAGCAAGTTTGGGATAGGGGCAAGAGGGTCCCTAGAAAAGAGTCCAGGGACAAAGAACCCCTGGGTCCTCCGTCGGTGTGGAGCCCCATCCTGAGTCTTACCAGAGTAGCTGTCTATCTTCCCTTGTCCTGCTTCCAGTAAAGTCGACCTTTTCGAACTTTGCATCTTTATTTCTGATGCCGAGTTTTGCAATTCCAGGGAGCTGTGTGCCCCAGTAGAGGAGTGGTACATGTCCCCGCGATGACAAGAGAAAGGCCACTAACTGGCACTGTTAGAGGAAGTCTGTGTATTTATGACCAAAATGTGGATCAGCCCCTACAGTGAGATCTATGCCTGCACTCTCCCCTCTACTATAACTACCTGAGGCACAGAGGATCCACACAGACTTCCAGACCAAGCCAGACAGGAGCACATCAGTCTTGTGAAGTGGCTTCCAAGGTTCAAGTCCACTCTAGCTCATTTTTTAATGCTAGGAAATTTTTTGTCAAGTGTCACTAGGACTAGATGTGCTTTATGAATCATTCATCCAGTGTTATGCTCAATGACGTCTTTTCATACTATGTTACAAGGAGCACTTCTGTATCGTAGAGCCACACCAGCTTTCAATAGGAGGTAGTGCTACTTTTTAGTTAAGTGCCATAGGAAAATGACAACCTTTCTGAGGTCAAGTTTTCAAAAAATATATAACTGTCTCCAACATTTTGGAAATAAAATCAGATAACACAGATGAATAGTTGGAGAGAAAGAAAGGAGAGAGAGAGAGAGAGAGAGAGAGAGAGAGAGAGAGAGAGAGAGAGAGAGAGAGAAGCCTGGCACCTTATAAACTACTCAAGTGCTAGGGTACATTTCCTTTCCTCTTGAAAGATTATCTATGAGCTTGTGCTGTTGGTCAAATATACACAATTGTTTCTCTTAGCTTCAGAGTTGTGTTTGGGCCTGGAGGTGTAGCTCAAACAATGTTCAGAGTTCTGTCTTCTCTGAAGCTACCTTGACCTGTTCCTCCTGCCCTTTTGGTGCCTGCTGTCTATCAAAAGACCCTCCTGGAACCTCCTCAATCCTTTGTGTATACTTATATGGTGTGATGCTTACTTTGTATACAAGTACGTGTTTTTATTTCTATTATTCACACTAGACAATGGGCTCTCTGAAGGGAAAGAGGAGATCTTATTGACTTGTTCAATCTATTAACTAGTACAGTGCATGACATGTAACAAATGCGTGCTTTCTGAGAGGGGAGTGTGGGAAGGACAGAAGGAGAGAAAGAGAGAAAAGAAAGAGAAGAAGGAGAAACAAGAAAGAAGAAGGGAAGGGAGAGGAGAAGGGGAGAAAGAACAGGCAGGCAGTGAGATGAGGTGGAGAGACGAAGAACACTGCCTAATGCTCCAAGCCAGCTCAGTTGAGTCTAAGTGGAGGCTACTATTATCTCACCCTTCCAGAGAGATGGCGCGCTGGAGAGTCACCGAAGGCTGCCGGGTTGCAGTGCTGTGCTGGGAGTGACTGTAAGAAAAAAAAGAAAACATAGAAAATTTAAGTAAAATATCTTTGCAAAAAATGAATGTCTTCATACATTTTTCCTACTGCCAAGAAAAGCATCAATCTTGAAAAAATGCAGCAGTGATTAAATCTTTGGTGATAAATAGAATTATGCATATAAACATAGTCCTCCACCAGACAAAGAGTTAATGTTTTCTTTAATTTGCCTTCAACATGTGTTATTGCAAAGTAAACTTTAAAGGAGGGGTAGAAATGAAAATAAACAAACATACACTTTAAAACATGTTTTAAAAAGTTAACTCTCCCAGAGAGAGCTAGTACAGCATGAAGCACACACATTTTATTATGACAAATGTCCTTTTGTAGCTGAAGAATATTTTTCGCAACAAAATTTTATACAGAGCATAATTTATAAATTGGTGTAAGATTTAATTACTACATATTTACATATTTGTTCAAATATGTAACACTTCTTGTAATTTTTTTTTTAATCGAAACTCAGCACCTTGCGCCTGCCAGGCAAGCACTTATTCTACTGAGCTATCTCCCTGGCCCTTCAATGTAAAATTAGTCAGTAACATTTCAGCTATTTGGAGAACATTAAACCTTGAAATATCTAACTTGCACCTGTTCCATGTTATGCCTAAGATGTTTGATACTCAGACAGATAGTGAGGTTAAGCTCAACAGCCTAGGTTGTAGGGTAATAACAATAAGCTTCTCTTCTGGAGGGTTAACAATCTAAGTTTGCAGACCAAAAATTAGAGAAAAAGATGGGCTGCAAGGAGAATCAACATTCGCCCTAGCCTTCCAAGGTCAATTAAGACTCAGGACATAGGAGAACCTGTACTGCAACATCATGTAACTCAGTTGTGTCCCAAATTTTCTGATCAAGGAGATTATGATGCCACAGAGGAAAGTGATCGATGATGTAGAGTGTGCCTAAGGAGAGTCACATGGAGAGAAAACTCTCAGGCTTTCACAGAGAGCAAATTGGTCAAGCAGTGGCCGTGACTCATCCACATGGCTGACACTGAAAAAGGATCTCCAGACTGCGGTACAGGGTTTCAGGATAAATCCTGAGGGGATTTGACTGACTTTATCAGATACAAAGGTTACATTTCTTGTTATATAGGTCTTGCTTTATCTTGGTCTTAATCATCCAGCAGAAAAGTATAAAAACGAGGTATATAAAGTAAAGCCATATTAATATGCTGAGCTGTGAAAGGTTTAAGTAAACAACTTCTGCGAATAACCCACTACTCTTGTGGACTGCTAGACTGTATTGGATTGTTTTGCTGAATTCACACAACTATAGTGTTTAAATGACAAAACTAAACAAATGAATGACCATTGTATATCTGTATATTCCAAATAGTTAGGATAGATATACAGCTACATTCTCTTAATTCGATGAATAGAAAGATTTGTTCTAATAGTTTGTAAACAGGATATCATGTCCGCATCTTGTACAATGAATAACCACTAAGACAACAATATACAATGTATTAATTATTGAAACTGTCCTACTAATCAGATTTGAAACTGTCTCACTGTTATTTGTTTCTCAATAAAAATATGGAAAAAAATCTAATTTGCATATCATTCTTAGAATTTAATGTAATTCCTTGCTCTGTTTTGGTTGCAGAAAACAAGAAGGGACTGATTTTGTGGATAAGTAGCTTAAATAAAATGATAATATCTATCAGTTAGTGAGGACTTATGCTGAATGAATATCTTTTTTAACTTTTATTTGTTTATGCCTCTTAACTTGAACACCTTTGTGCAGTAAACCTCACTTGAATGATAGGGAAATTGAAGTCCAAAGAGGTTAGAAGCTTGCTGAACGTAACATGGAAAACACCAGTGCTTGAATGGTATCTGGACTGTCAGGTTCTATAGCCATTATTGTTTTTTTTTTTTTTTTGGTATTTTAGGGAAGGATCTACAGGGTGTTCAGGGTATCTACTGGATTGTATTTGTAGCAATCTGCCTGTTTACAGCCTCCCAAGTGCTCGGATTACAGGCGTGTGCCACCGTGCCCAGTCTCAATTGCTGTCTCAGCACACTCCGGGGGTGAGACCAGCACCACGGGCCTGGGGATCAAATATAGCCATTATTCTTAACCAGTGCAATTTAATAATTTTTCAGATTTGTAAGAACTCGCTTTATAGTTTCAGAATGTTCTTCCTTTATTATTATTTAATGTATTTGGTTGCTACTGGATCTCATTACGCAGGTTGGATTCATAGTGATCCTGTTTTCAGCCTCCCTGGCACTGGGATTACAGGTGTGTGTCGGGGGTGGGGTGGGGCTGGTGTGGCATGTTGTACTGGGGATTGAACCGCGGTCCCTGCACTTGCCTAAGCTTGCCTAAGCAGGTGCTTTAGTAAGCTGAGCTATTGGGATTACAGGTGTGTGTCAGGGGTGGGGTGGGGCTGGTGTGGCATGTTGTACTGGGGATTGAACCGCGGTCCCTGCACTTGCCTAAGCTTGCCTAAGCAGGTGATTTAGTAAGCTGAGCTATCTTGCTGGCCTCCAGAATGTTCTCTAATTGTAAAGAAATGGAAGAGAATCATCTGAGAAAGGCATAGTAATTTAACCACAAGCATGTACACAAATGAGTGTGTAGTTATAGCTTGGAGAACTAAGTTACTATTTAGTTGGAGTGTGAATTACACATACATGTGGTACACATACAGATTTGTTTAAAGACAAAATTGTTCAAGTTTTGTAGAATAGTAAGCAGCTTCACAAACTTCTAGCATTTTTCAGCATGCTCTAGGACATTGCCACAGAGGTCAAACTGTGGCTGGAAGACATCTGTAATCAGAATCTAGGTCACTAGAAGTGAGAGGGACAGCTCTGTGACTAACATTCGGTTGTGACAGGAGCAGGAGTTTGAGACTGTGGCTACCGCCTGAAGAATGATCTTTTAAAATCATGGATGGCACTTTGACATTCCTGTGTCCCTCCCAGGGCCGAAGCACATACTCAGCGTGTGGTGCCACACAGCGAGAATTCAGCATTGCGTGAAGGACTCAGACAGGGAGGCCAGACTGCGCGACCTGGGCTGATGTGGCCGGCTGCCGATGGGAGCAGCTCCACCAGATCTGCTCCCTGCGTCTGCCCTTACGTGCAAGAAGGGGACCGTGGCAGGCCTCCCTCATGGGTCCTTTTAGGGACTGAATGGATACAGTGTCTAGAACAATGGTTGTCACTTGGGAAAAGCTATCTGCTCGATAGCTAAACTGATAAATTTAGCAACTATGTACTAGAAGATGTTCATTGCTAAATAAAAATAATTATTTATATTTTTTCAGCTAGCCATACAGTCAACACCAGGAGGTGTATATTTCTGTATGAAATATAATTTTGGCAATAAATAGCAAGCATATTTTCTGTTATAAAAAGTAATAAAAATAAGATATATAGGTTTAACAGGTTATTGGTCTATGTGTATGAGAACCAGAGGTAAGAAAATTATACTGTACATGGGCCTGACATTAAGTGAGTACACTTTAGTTGTTTTTGCCTCAGAAACAAATGAAAAGGACGACTAGGTGAGATGATGAAGCTGACAGCTTGCGCCTCGCCAGCAACCACTTCGCGGGCTCTGTGTGCCCTGTAGCACCATGCAGTCTACATTAAACACACACTCAATTTACCTTAAGAATTAAAAGGAATGAGAGTAAGAGAAAGTAAAAATAGTGGTCATCTTTAGCAAAACAGTATTCTATAATTCCAGCATCCCCTTTCAGACTTTACAGAGCTACCTCATCAATTTTCCTGGCTCTGCAGCGTCGGTATGCGTATGCGTGCTTTAAACACAAGAAAACATGCAATCATGTGGAGAAATTAGCATCTCATAAATGTGGAGCCAGAATTTGTTTTGTGCCAATGTTCATATTTCACGAAATTTCTATGTTCACATGTATTTCAGAGTCATAAATACACACACACACCCAAATATATTTATACATTCAGAATATATATATATATATATATATATATATATATATCTTCAAACCTTGTTTTTCTTTTTTATGTATTTAGTATAGGACCTATGGGATCTCACTACATAGATCAGACTTGGAGTGACTGTCCTGTTTTCAGCCTCCCAAGAGCTGGGATTACAGGCATGTGACACCAAGCTCAGTCTCAATTGCCATCTCAGTGCACCCCGGGAGCGGGGCCAGCACAAAATGCTGGGATTGAACCCCGATCTCTGTGATTTTCCTAAGCAGGCGCTTTAGTCTACTGAGCCCAAAACTGTTTTCTTAAGATCATATTTAAGCATTTCTAATAGTATCTCCACACTTACTATTTTAGTGTTATTTAATATTATTTCCTACCAATTTATAATTTATTTAGCCTTTCTATTTTATAGCTACATATTTAAGTTATTTCTACTATTTTAAAATTGTTAATAGTGCAATGAGGAACATATGGATACCAATTTTTTTTTCTTATTTTACAATTTCCTTTAGATGCTTTCCCCCAAATGAAAACATTTTATTAGGTTCTTGATTTATGTTATCAATTACTTTTCAGAAGACTCACAGCATTTTACTGGCTTGATATATGTATCTCTACCAGCTTCACCCCGGTATTTTACACCAATCTTATAAGCCTGACACCTGCACCACCACTGGGTCCCCCCACTCTGCAGGACCCGTGTGGGAAGCAGCGACACTGAGGAGCTGCGTGCCCTGCTCGCCCAGCCCCCACCACTGCTGCCGGGCCCTGCTTCCACAAGAGCCACGAGAAGGCAGGCGCACAGAGGAGCCACACGCCCCTCCCTGCCGGCACTGCCCCCGGGCTAGCCCAGGATGAGACCCTCGCGGGGGCAGGAGCGAGGGAGACCCGGTCCCCCCTGCAGCCTGGGCCTCGTGCCTTCTGTGTGGGACGCAGGCGGGGAGCAGCCCAACCGCAACCCCAGCCAGCTCTGCTGCTGGGCCGCACCCGCCACGCTGACCTGACGGAAGGCGAGATCCACACTCA